TTTCATATATATTTTTTCAAAGAGTTACTTCCTGCAGTTAAAGTTTGGTAACCAAGCAGGGTTAAACTTGTCAACAGGAAGGAAAAGAACATAATCTTAGGTCAAGGATGAGTTGAGTTGCTGTGAAGTTAAGCTGATGAAACCATATCAGCATTAAAAATATATCCATTTAAAAATAATACGTCAGGATTAAAAGTACTCTATCTGATTTTTGAAAAAAAGGGGAGGTTGTTGATAAGAGTTTTGATTGAGATGTCCCTTTGGAAAGAATTTGCATGGTATCTGAGCTTTACCCCAAGAATTTGTACATCATTTAAGTGTAGGAGAGATGAATAATGCTAGAAATCATTAACAGGGACCAGTGTGTACTGCTTATCACATGAATGAAGGTTTTATTCATTTAGTCAATGCTAGGACTGTCATTAAAATTCAGCATCTTTAAATGAAATCCATACTGGAAAATGCTATTTCCATACTTGCTGTAATGGTCATATTTTTACTTTTAGCCCCATTTACATTGATTTCTTTGCATTAAACTGAGGATGATTCCTTTTTAATAGTCATTATTTCTTGCCTTGACACAAATTTTTAAACCCTAGTATGCACCTTCCTTGAATTTTTGCTGCTCATTACTCCTAAGCTGTTAAAATAACTGTTTTCAAATCTTCTCATTTTGAAGTAATTACAGATTTCCTGGCCATTTCAGAAATGATACAGGAGGTCCCTTTTGTACTTCATCCAGCACCCCAGAAGTAGTGTTTAATTAAGCCATAACACCTGAATGCTTTCCTTCAGGAAATTTTAGCAAGGGTTAGAGAAGCCTGGAATTCTTCAGTGTTAGAATGAGCCACGTGTGTTAATAAGCGTCCACCTGTCATGGAGACTCAAGCCTTCCTCTACTGGGTCTTCTGTGGGGTGAGCACTTACTGGGGGCACAGCTACTTTCAACCTGGAAACAGGCTAAAATAAAGGTACGTGCTGCCCATTGCAGACCGTGAGCTCTATCTTAGCCAAGCAGCCCTGGAACAGGCCTTAGGAGTGTGTGTTTTCAGATACCCCAGCGGTGTTTTACTATAAATGGCTTTATTGGGGGCTCTTACAGCTGTTATCACAATCCATCCATACACCCACTGTGTCGAGCGCATTTGTACGTACAGGATGTTGCCATCATTTTCAAGACATTTTCTTTGTACTTGAGCCCTTGGTTATCAGTTCATTTCCCCCCTCCCTCCCTCATGAACCCTTGCTAATTTATGTTGGTTTTTTTTCATGTCTTACACCGACCAATGTGTTCCTTCACCTACTTTTCTATTGGTTGGGTTTATATGTAGATCATTGTGATTGGGTCCCCTTTTCTCCCCCATCTTCCCCTTAACCTCCTGGTGTCACTACTCATTATTGGCCCTGAGGGGTTTATCTGTCCTGAATTCTGTGTTTTTCCAGCTGTTCTCTATGCCCATGTACATGCTCTGGTCTAGCAGAATTTGGAAAGTAGAATTGGGATCATGATAGTGGGGGGAGGAAGCATTAAATAACTAGAGGAAAGTTGTTTGTTTCATCGGTCCTATACTACACCCTGACTGGCTCATCCCTTCCTTGTGACCCTTCTGTGAGGGGATGTCCAATTGTCTACTGATGGGCTTTGGGTCTTCATACCCCAATGTTTTGTGAAGCACAGTTTTGGACTACTTGGAAAATTAGAATTTTTAAGCGCCCTCAATTTTGTTATTAGTGGCTTTCAAACCTTTGAGCATAGGTTCAGATATATTTTATTTCTGGATCCATGTCTGCTTTTTCACAGGAAACTGTGTCAGTGCAATTAAAACTGTTTATCGTACTCTCCTTGAATACTCTTGTTTTAAATTGGTTGTAACCCCCTGAAATTTAAGTCCCATCTAATGTCTCCACTCTCAGTTTGAAAATACCATGTTTACCTGAAAGTAAAAGATCCCTCCCAAAATAAGACTTACACTTTTGCCTCGCTGAAATGTAAGACATCCCCAGAAAATAAGACCTAGTGCATCTTTGGGAGCAAAAATTAATATAAGACACTGCCTTATTTTTGGGGAAACAGGGCATGAGGAGGCTTCCAAAAGTTCAGGATGAAAATCGAATTATGTAATATTGAGTTTTTTTCCGTGAACATTTTGAAACCCCCTCTACTGCCCTGGCCAGTGTTTTCAGTATAAGGTGACAGCCTGAAGATTGAAGTGGTGTTATCGGTCTCTTTTTCACCCTTTCCTCTCAGAGAAACGTATCTCTGTTGTCTTTTGAGGGAAGGGTTCATTTTTTAGCATGGTAAACACATATGTAAACAAACTGACCATTACGTCATTGGTCACATAGATGTTCGGTGTATATTCTGTTCAGTCCTAACCATTAGCCTTCATGAATTGTCTGTCACCCCTAAGCAAAAGGAACTGTTGTTACTTTATTGACCCGTTCCGTTATTTCAAGCATCTAGCACCCACAGTGACTGCTACCCTCAGTCCCCTTCGCCCCCAGCCGCGCCCTCTGCCCTGCCCGCATTTTCTTTTGTTCAGTTTCTGTTCCTCAGTATGAACTGTTTCCTTAAGTTACTAAGAGCCTTTAATGCTTAATGTTTCACATGCCTAGAGGGAAAGGTAAGGAAGATCAAGTCAAATGTAAAACCAGTGTACTTGTTAAGTAGCTCTAAAATAATGGACTGGAATCATATGCCAGTAAAACTGTCCTAAAAAAAATAGTTGACGGGCCATTCTCCCATGCAGAATGGTGAACTATGGGTATGGGAAGGGTTCTAAACTAGTCAAGTTATTGGTTTGAAAATAAAATTACTTACATGGAATAAATTTAGTGTACTTCTCACCAAGGAAAATGGTAACGTTGCCCTTTTGATTCTCGTGAATTTTTGAAAATAGGAAGTATTACTACATTTTACATATTCAAAAATTGAAGTGAGTAGGGGTGATGGGCCAAGAATACAAAGACATGGTAAGAGATAGCTATGAAATTTCACCTAAAACATGCTGATTATGGTTTAATTGTTCTCAATAAAAGGAAACAAGTTCTTTACCATATACACAACTATCAAATGAAAGTGTAATGGGCAAACTGCTGGTTTCGTAGGAGTTAACGAAATTTTATTGTCAATACAAATAAGATCTTTGTTCAGATAAAGTCATTATTTCACATAGCTCTAACTCAAAAACAAGGTACTCAGGTATTCCTTTTTAAAAAAAAAAAGTATTTGAAGACCTACCTATAAAAAATGGTTTTAATTCTCATTGTGGCGCCCCAGACACTCTGCTAGGATAGAAAGTAACAGTGCGAAGTCCGATCCACAGCGGTGGGTTCCATTTCACGAGCTGCATCCCAGCCCCAGACTTGTCTCACCGGGAATTTACTTGGCTTACTACCCCGTTCTGCCAAATATATATATTACTCGGCACGCTCCTGGCCCTGGCAACTAAAAATTTTGGTGCTCTAGCCCATAATCCTGAGTAAAGTATTTGTTTTTGCAGCCCCCTGGATCTTTCCAGCCCCTCCCAGGGGGGCAGCATTACCCACTTTCAGGAACAAGGGGCTCAATAAAAAAGGCTTTCCTCTTTGCATGTATTTGTTACAAGCTCTCAGTTTGTGGTGGCCAAAGACTTAGAAACTAATTGGTGTAAGAGCAAGATATTCTTTCTCTCTGTTGATCTCTTGAGTTTAGTTGTATCTATACCTGATTGGGACCTGTTTTCTCAAGGTTTCCCCCCCAAAAAAGTATTCTGAATCTTTTAAGAAGCCTAAGAAAGAGTTCAAGTGTGAAAGGTGTTTTCTTCCGGAAAGCAAGTATATGCAAAACAGTTGAATCTAATTTTCGGGGTTCTACCTGAGGAACCTGAAAGCCAATTCTTGACTTTTTAAAAAGATTGGAATTAGGGTTGTGCTTGAATTGAATAGTGCTTCGATTGATGTGTATTCTGAAATTATCTGGTAGTGATTTCATTTTTTATCTGAAGGCACTTGAACATGGCAAGCTTAATTTAAGTGTAGGTTTTGATATATATCCTGGGCAGATTAAGCTGCGGTTCTTTCTAAATCTAGTGACAAGCAAGGTTATTGTTCTCTCGTATTAGGAACAGAGTTCTCAGGTTTATGTTCCGTACTTACAAACTGTCTGGACCTATAAGGGCGTTTTTAAGTTAATGGAATGAGTTTTACTAGAATTAAAGTCAATGAAGTAGCCCGGGGGTGAGGTGGGATGTGGGTGGAAGATATCTTGTATGATGGTGAACTTTGAGTATTTGGTTGCTCTTGTTTGAGTGTACATTGGTGTGCATACTGTGTATGTCCCTCCATGTGAGGGGCTTCCAATGTTCCATGGAAAAATACTGTGAAAAGATAGTGGAATTTCCCCCACAATTTTTGATGCGCCCTCCTATATATATGCATTTGTTTTTGTTTTTTTCCTATATATATTTTTATTGACTAAAAATATTTCTTAATGTGGGACATGATTTTAAAAGTGCCTTTCTGCTTTTGAGGTAAGAGGAGTATCTGTGTTCCTGGTTTTTTTTAACGTTTGGGGAGTGAGCTTAAACATTATGGTAAAGGAGCAATTTTCTTGAATTTTTATTGATTTGCCAATGAAATTCAGTTTTTATTGGCAACTTTTTGGGGAGTGTGTATAACTTAAGAAAGACGTTGCAAATTTATCATTTCATTTACTGGCCATGTTGTGTAATAATCACATGAGGTTTAATATTAAATTGCTTGGTAGAAGAACATACTACTTATTTAAGACCAAAAAGTTCTGTTTTCAATATGGTCATTTTGCTCAGGGCAGCTACTTGTTTTTGCTAAGTGTTGGGTCCGGAGAATGAGAACTTGGGGAGCTGGAGGGGAGTGATCAGTAGTGCTTTTTTTCTTCTACTATGGAAAGACATCCAGGACTGGTCCTGGAAAGTAGCATTGTCTTTCAACTTTGAACTAGAAACATTAACCTAATAGCTTCTTTTTCTTTTCTTTCCAAGGTTTGGGCCCCATGGGATCCCTGTCACAGTGTTCCCTAAAAGGGAGTGTAAGGATAAGCCTGAAGCTATGCAGCTCCAAAGTAGTCCATTCCAAGAAGGGGCAGAAGGCAAGCAAGAAGTGAAGGGTGCCGTTCCCCGAGCCCCGCCTCCGGAGCCGAGCCTGGCTGAAAGCCTGTGGACTTCCAAACCACCACCTCTCTTCCATGAAGGTGCCCCTTACCCTCCTCCGTTGTTTATCAGGGACACATATAACCAATCGATACCTCAGCCACCACCTCGGAAAATTAAGCGACCCAAACGAAAAATGTACCGGGAAGAACCCACTTCTATAATGAACGCTATTAAACTACGCCCCAGGCAAGTGCTGTGCGACAAATGTAAAAGCAGCGTTGTTGCTGAGAAAAAGGAAATGAGGAAAGGTAGTAGTGCAAGTGACTCTTCAAAATACGAAGATAAAAAGAGGAGAAACGAAACTGTAACTACTGTGAACAAGAAACTTAAAACAGACCATAAAGTGGACGGGAAGAACCCCACTGAAAGTCAGAAAAGAAGTGCTGTGGTGAAGGGTTCCAGCATGGCGCACAGCAGAGGCCGAGTGGTGAAGGTTCCTGCTCAGGCCCACCCATCCAAGGCTCACTTGAGTACGAAAAAGGTGCTGCAGAGCAAGAACATGGACCACGCCAAAGTGTTGAGGATTGCCAAAGACAAGGCACAAAGGAAGCCAAGCGAAACCTCCGCTTCCAAGAGTGCACATTCAAAAGTCCATCACACACGCCGCTATCCGAATCCCAGCTCCGGTTCCCTGCCGCCACGGGTTCGCTTAAAACCCCAGAGGTACAGGAATGAAGAAAACGACTCTTCTCTGAAGACAGGACTTGAGAAAGTACGGAGTGGCAAGATGGCACCCAAGCCCCAGTCTCGCTGCACCTCCACCCGCTCAGCAGGTGAGGCCCCTTCAGAAAATCAGAGTCCCTCCAAAGGCCCCGAAGAGGCCAGCGGTGAGGTTCAGCACACAAGTGAAGTGCATGTGCCCGGTGAGCAGGATGAACCACAGACACTGGGCAAAAAGGGCAGCAAAAGCAGTATCTCTGTTTACATGACCCTAAACCAAAAGAGGCCTGACTCTTGCAGTGCGTCTGTGTGTAGCATTGATAGCACAGATGATTTGAAGTCTTCCAACTCTGAGTGTAGTTCTTCAGAAAGCTTTGATTTTCCTCCAGGCAGCATGCACGCACCTTCCACCTCCTCCTCCACCTCCTCTTCAAAGGAAGAGAAAAAGCTCAGTAATTCCTTGAAAATGAAAATCTTTTCCAAAAACGTCTCTAAATGCGTCACACCAGATGGCAGGACCATATGTGTAGGGGACATTGTTTGGGCCAAGATTTACGGTTTCCCATGGTGGCCAGCCCGCATTCTTACTATAACTGTGAGCCGGAAAGATAATGGCCTTTTAGTCCGACAGGAGGCTCGCATTTCATGGTTTGGGTCTCCAACAACATCTTTCCTTGCTCTTTCGCAACTCTCCCCCTTTTTAGAAAACTTCCAGTCACGCTTTAATAAGAAGAGAAAGGGCCTGTATCGGAAAGCTATCACCGAAGCAGCTAAGGCTGCCAAGCAGCTGACCCCTGAGGTGCGGGCTTTGTTGACACAGTTTGAAACTTGAACTTGGACAGGTAGGCAAGAACGATTGGAAGGCACCATAGATTTCTAGTTTAGTTAAACACTTCCATGAAACACCCTGGCCAGATGGGGGAGAGATTGTACTCCACTGGCTACCTTTTTATACTTAACCTCAGAGCCATTTTTGACCAGGAAACAAACTGAACATGCAATCAAAATCTGTCTTAATGAACTGAGATTGTAGCAGTATTTTTCAGTTTTACCGGCTAAAACCACCCCCAAAGCATAGGAGCCATAGCTTCAGCTGGAAGTGAATTTTCACAGGGACTGTTAGGAGCTGTTCATACCTAATACTGTGTATATATATATATGTATAAACATATACATATATATGATATATATAGCCTGTCACTGTGTGACAAGGGTTGTAGACTGGGATTGCAGTAGTGAGCTGGGGAATAGTGTGAATATTTAATAACTACTTGTTTTTTAACGAACACAGCCTTTCTATGCATACAATGGCATTAAGAGTTTGATATGTAGGTGTTGACAAACTGATGCTTGCTCTCCTGTTGTGGACTGGGGTGCTAACTCAGTGTTGAGGATTAATAAGGCTGTTAAGGCTGGGTAGATTGGAATCAGCCCTTTTTAACTTCCTTTCCTATGGGGATTTAACCAACTTTCAAACATCTGGTTTGGGAGTACAGATAGGTTTGTTTGGGTTATGTAAATAGCGGATTCTTATATTTGGTCAGATTTCTCCTGACTGGCTATTCTTAAATTCTTAGGCTACGTCCTCGTAAATTACACTTTGTGAATTAATTGTCATGTGTAATTGTTGCATTTTGGATGTACCTAACTTGATAATTTTTAAAAAACAGTTTCCATTTAAGGTATCTGTTTGCAGGTCAGAAAATGAGAAAATGTAATGTGTAATGCTCTGAAATGTAAAAAAAACAAGCTGTAAATAAAATTGACTAAATCCCAATTATTCGTGTGTGTTTCTCAAAAAGCTTCAAAATTTTCAAGGTGTTAGAAAACAATTCTTTGTAATAATGTTTAGAGGAGGTCAAAGAGCAAACTTCTATTTTTCAATTTGCCCTGTTGAGATATATTACGATTATAGGTAAAATTGAAATAATAAGCAATTAATCACTGAAAATGGAGTTTTGTAATATAGAGGTCTGGTATGCTCTGAGATCTGATTATTCCCCACCCCCTCCTAATTTCTCATAAATATATGGGTTTTCATTTTTCATCTAAATTTTTATTTTCTTTTTATCTTTAACCTTAATGTTTTATCACATGCTTTATTATTTACACTTAGACTATTCCAACCAGTCTCTTTCCTACAGTTTGGGCTTCTGCCTCAGGTATCATTGCTTTTGGGGGCTAGTAACTTAGCTCACTTGTTGATCCAATCTTTTTTACCATAAGATTTGACTTTTTGCTCTATTTTAGCTTTGTATGGTTAGTGAAAATTATATCTGATAATCTGGAGGCAAATTTATCCCAAGATTTTTGAAGTTGCTTTCTATTTTTGTGTCTGACACAGCTTGCTTAACTTTCAAACTTACTATAATTTTGATAAGTTTTAGGTAATTGACACTTCGAAAGGAAGCAACAATTGGATTTCTAATGAATCCATCTTGAATGATCATAGTTACTATGGGACTTCTAATGAAAAAATACATGGAGATCAGGCGCCAGTCGTGCGTAAAATAAGGATACCTGTGATGCACATGCCCGTATCTGCAAAACAAGTCTAATTCCTGGGCAACGTGGCTAATGCTTTTTGATTATAGTAAACACACAATTCTAAAAATCAAGATGCTTCACTTGAACATATTCTTTCCTGCAAACAGAAACAACTATTTTCTAATGTTTGATTATAGCAGGTTGAAAAGAAGTTCAGTATGATTGAAGAGTTAACAAAAAATATCAATGTATTTTACAGTTTGTTTCAGATTAATTGGTTCATTTAAATACTCTTTAGAGTTTGAAATCTGAAATTCAGAAAGATTTTAAGCAGCAGAGCAAAAGTCACCCAAAACATTTCAAGGCATTGGATAGTGGTCCAGTGTACTTTTCACAGTGATTCTGAATGTAGGTGGCACTTACACAGGAGTTTGGGCCAATGTGCTTGGACGTAAACTAGATTTGTTTCAGAAGCCACGAGGAAAAAGGAAAGCTTGATGGTTAAGTAGAAAAATAACACTGAAATTTGTTTTCCATGCCTTGAGGAAAAGGTTGGACCACAGTCACCATCTTTACTCTTTCCTAATCTTCCCTGCACTTCAAATTGGCATGCTCACATATCCTTTGACGTTCCCACTAGGAAACATTTTAAAGGATTTTAAAAATAGAGTTAAAGAGGGTCCAGTAGTTACATATTAAATAATTGGTTTTATAAATATAAGTTTCTTGAGCAGCTGTATAAATGTGTCCAGTATTTTCTACGAATGGAAATCCGTGGAATTGGGTAACTGGTCATTTCTCGCTGAGGCGGTAGTCACTTCCCTATTGAGAGGACCCTGTAGATCTTTGACCCTTGTGCAGAGAGAGGAAGCCCAACCTCCTAGGCCCAGATGGAGCGCCAGTCAACCCAGTGCACAACTAGCGCTGTGGAAGTTAAAGGGGCGTCTAGTTTTAGGAATTCTTAGGAACTTAAAGTGGTGCACCAGGAAGCTATTTTTCCCGTTTGGCATCCTATAAAGGTAGACTGGAAAAGTGGAACCAGAGAGATAGGGAAACTAAGATTTCTTAGTCCAAAGCTCCTATGCATGACCTTATGTCCCTACAAGGTTTTGATGGGAATAATCTATAAATTGGCACTAAAGATTATGTACTGCGTCAAATGGGAGTAGCTAGTTAGGCAAGCTTTGGGCAAAGAGATGATTTGGTATTTGGGCCATTTAACTTGCCTAATTTTATTAAACCTTGAAGGGATTTTCATTTTGAAAATGAAATTAGTGTTAGGCATTTTAATATTTAGGTTACTGTTTGAAGTCTCCTAGTTCAAAATTGTAAACTGTTGCCCCACTATTTGAGTTAGGTACCTTTCTTCTCAGTTGGTCATTCTAGAGGAAAAATACCCATTTAAAGTCTGCAAGGTTGTCGATTTTTCTTTATGGAGAGTAACTAACTGATTTGGGGATTAGAAATGACAATTTCAATTTGGATTTAAACTAGTTAATTGCACTTTGAGGTTTTCTTAGTACTGCAGAGAGAAGAGAGCCATGGCAGGTGTCTAGAAAAGTTGGTAAGATTTGATTACAGGGTTTGTGCCCAGTGATGCCTCTAAGAGGGAAGTTGTCAGATGGAATTAAGTTTCTCTTCTGATCATTCGCTTTGGGATTGTACTAATAGTTAAGGCAATCTCTAATTGAATGCTTGATACAGGGAATTATGAATGGAATAAGAGGTGGTCTTGCCAGTTTGGGAAGAGAGTCCTGACGGGTTAGTGGTTATGCATCGGGCTGTTAACTGGAAGGTTAACCGTTTGCAACCACTGTTTGTTCTTGGGAGAAAGAAGAGGTCGATTCCTGTAAAGACTAGTCTGAGAAACCCGCAGGTACTGTTCTTCAAGGTCAACTAGTTGGCAGTGTGGTTTTTTGTTGTGTTTTTTGAGGTGTAAAGAGAACTGATGGCATAATGGGTGGCACATTGGCCTGATAACTGCAAGATCGGCTAGACACCACCGGCCTCTCCTCCAGAGAAAGATGAGGCTTTCTACTCCGGTTAAAACTTACAGTCTTGGAAACAAACCTACTGGGGCTGTTCTATGCCCTACAGCAGGGTTCTCAAACTTTTTTAACGGGGCCAGTTCACTGTCCCTCAGACCTGTTGGACGGCCGGACTATAGTTTAAAAAAAAAACCTGAACAAATTCCTATGCACACTGCACATATCTTATTTTGAAGTAAAAAAAAAAATGGGGCAAAAACACTCGGCCGGCGGGCCGCATGTGGCCCACAGACTGTAGTTTGAGGCCCCCTGCCCTACAGGGTCTTAGATAACGCAATTTAAAATTCATTAAGAGTAGTATTTCTATCCAGGTATCATTATGCAGAAGGAAAATCAAAGACCCCATAGTGTAAGTGTTAGGTTGTTGCTGTAATCACATTTTGTTTTTCTTTTCACATAAACAAAATGTTTGTTCTTACCATGTATAATGCATTTCAGTGAGGCTGCCTTTATTTAAGTATTAATAATTTAGCCTTCCTTATTCCTCATTTGGTTCTCTTGGGAACAAAGCTTAGGTTAAAATCATGTCAACTGCTAATCATGCTTATCTAGGGCACAGCATCACAATGTTGCCTGGTCTTATTTGTCGTTTTCAAAGTAATTTTAAATTATGAATACACTCAGATGTTATGACGTATGTTGATGAAACAGATTTATGGCCAAAGTTTAGAATTGGTGAATTACTAGTACACTAGTAAAAAACCCTAACGGGATGGATGCATATATAAACAACCATGTTCCTCTACGGAGATACTGGTTTGCTTCCCTAGGGAGAGTGTTTTTATAGGATTGTGAGAGGGTTATCTAGCTGAGAGTAAAAGGTAGAATGGATATATTTCTATGCATTTAACTAGGAGGTTGGAACCTTTGCTAACATTCTGCACCTGTGGTGCAGGTCGGGGCAGAAGCGCCTCCAGGAGAGCACATGATCCTGAGCCAGGTTCATGAGCTGTGTCTGGCATGCCATCTGCATAATGGGGAGGAAAGTAGTGCTTTTTTAAAGAAAGGCAGCAATAAGGAAAGTGCCTGGCTAAGACCTATGTATACCCTGGCTTATTCCCACCACTGCTGCATCGTGTGCCACAAAAAGTCCACTTTGGTATCTTTGACGCTTTCTGTGCAGTGTCCTCTGTGTAGAAATGGAAAGCAGTGTTTTTCCTACCCAGACACCCCAATCATCTGGGTAACAGAGTCTTGGCAAGTACACGTGCTTAGTCTAGCTCAGCAGAGCTCAGGTGAGCACTGGTGAGGGGAGGACAAACGGTATTCATGTCACATTTCAACTCCTGCCCTGTTCTTCAATGCAAAGTAGACTCTTGCAGGACCTGGGGAGGATGCACAGTTAGTGCTCAACTGTTGAGCTAAAAGGTTGGCAGGTTCAACTCTACTGAGGAGTCTTGGGGAAAGGCCTGTTGATCCGTGAACAGTCTTGGAAACCAGGTGGGTCACACTGGGCCTTTGACATATGGGTTGCTGTGAGTTGAATTGACTGATGGCAACTCGCAACAGCTATACGTGACCATTTTCTTTCTACCTTACTTAAGTAAGGCCTCCTAGTGTTACAGTGGTTAAGCGCTGGGCTGCTAAGCAAAAGGTCAGTGGTTTGAACCTAAAAGCCACGCCTTTAAAGACTGACAGCCTTGGAAACTGGGTGGGGTGCATCTGCTCGGCCCGGTGGAGGTCACTGAGCTGGAATTGATTGGACCAGCCAGGGCTTGTGCTGAGTCCCAGAGAGCCTGCTGGGAAATGAGTGGAGTCACCTTGGTGTGGGCCTTTCGTACTCGCCCTATGCGGCCCAGCTCCTTTCACTGGGTTCGGGGCTCCCTGAAAGAATCAACGAAGCTGATGCAACGAGAAGGCTACAGCTGTCTATTTTTACTTGGTATAAATTAGCTGATTTCCACAGATGCCAGGTGCTCTGGGCACCCTGCCCCCCCTTAAAAAATAATGTTTTTAGGGCCACAAAATGGTGAAAAGTGAATTTTAACGTATTTATTCCTTGCTTTATTTGAGGTACTTTGGTCGGTTGTGGTTCAATCCCACCCACTTGCCCCTGGGAGATTGGAGAGGCTGGTCGTTCCTGTCAGGATTTTCATCCCGGGAAGCCAGCCCCATACGGGGTTGCTGGGAGGCAGTAGGTGGTTTGGGAAGCGTTGGGTGTGGTTAGATGGGGGATTGGCTCTCACTGCGCTCCTTGGTCAAGTGAGCCATCTTGTGCAGGGGCAGTCATTTCACCACGCCGCACTTTGCAGATGCTCCTGGCTGCAAACCTTGGGTTTCTGGCCACAGTTAATATTAGCAGGGCCTTTGGCAGAAGTCCTGGGGAGCTGGGAAGAACCTCAAGCAATTTGTTGTTTAACATTCTAGAAGAGCTGCTGATTAGAAAAATAGCACCGAGTCTTGGAAACTAGAATGTCTGACTGTCAAACCAGGTAGGCTTTTACTCTCTTCTTGCTGCATGATATTGTATCATGTTAAGGACATTTTTAAATTCAAGTGTTCAAGTTAAATACGTAGTTTTTATACATTTATACATGTGTAAGCGTAGTTTTTTAATGTTCAATTCTGGGCTTTGCTGCCCACGCCAAAAGGGCGATACTTAGTAACAAAGAAGGTCAGTTAAAAAGAGGAAGCCCCTGATGCGATGGGTTGCCCGCGTGGCTGCAACAGCCCTCACACGGGAGTGATGGGCGGATGGGGCCGAGCTGGGCAGTGCTTCCTTCGGTTCCGCGGGCCGATCCTATGAGTAGATGGCCCCTAACAACAGCAGAAGGGAGGGCGAGTGTGTACTTTGTTCTGATTTGCCCCCTTTGTTGAGTGGGTTTGGAAAAGCCCATCCTTTGATTCAGTTGTTCCCTGCACTTTTCTGAGGCTTCCTTGGATTTGTGATGTCTCCCAGAAGTAGTTGCCATTGCTGGACCTGAGGTTTCCCTTAGAGGACAAAATAAGTCCTTTCCAGTGTAATTGGTGCCTTTTCATGGGGCTTCCTTCAATTATTACATCATAGCCAGGGCTGCCCTATGTCCTGTAACGGCGGCACATTTCCAAGGAGAATCCAGAGACTACATGTAGGTTGAGGCAACATGCCTTCTTAGTTCCCAGGCTCTTGAGGAGCGCATGTGGAGCCGGTGCTTAGGATTACTTTTTATTTATTTATTTTTTGCCCAGGATTACTTTTTAGTGCATTCTCTTGATGACGCTTGCAGAGAACTGAAGATTATTGCAGCCTAGCACATTTTATCTTGGCAGAGAGAGGGTCAAGTCAGATTCCTTTTTTCTAGTTTGATTGTTGGGTGACAGTTAAAAATAGCATATGAGAGGACTTTCAAAAATTGGTGGGAAAATTCTATTTTAATTGTTTTCTGTGATGTTTTGAAGCACCCCCCATCCCTGCCTGACCAAAAGGGTAAATAACCTCATTATTGAACCTCATTAAAAAAACACATCGTTTTCCTCTTGAGTTAAAATTTAAAAGTAATTCTGTTTATACGTTGATCAAATACAATTTTTAAAATACAGAATTTTTTTTCTGTAGAAAAGCCATTTAAAAAAGCGATTAATATAGTACTGCTTCTGATTTCATTTGTCAGCATTTAAAAATGATGAGTTCTGTAAGAACTGACATCTAAACCCATGACCCCCAAATCGACTACATTCGTATGCGATGGATTCACTGTTTCTTATTTATACTTAAACCAGATAAGTTAGCAAACAAATGTTTAAAAATAAGACATAATTACAATCCCTCATTTGAATTATGCTTGCTATTTAAGTTTGTTCTGAAAGCCTAAGTGAGAAAACATGTCCTGCATAGCTATTACTTCAGTAGGTGTCACCTCGGTCTGCCAGTGGGCGCTGCTTGAGCTCCTTCTGCAGCGCAAGCCCCTCTGATGCCGGCGGGAGGGAGGATCATTTCAGCTCTTGTTAAGTGTTTGAGGGGATGAGGGCTGCCCCTTACACTCCCACCTCACCTGTAGCTAGTTGTGTTGGGCTAGTAAAAAATTACTTTTGTTGTTAAGGAAATTAACTGGATTAGCATTTCCCTCTCCTTTATAAATGCTTGGGAGACTGCATATTGGTTTGCTGCTTGGCCGCGTGCTGCGGGAACGGACTGGGGCTGGACACTGCCCTCTCCTGGCCATGGCTGGTGTGTGTATACCCCTCTCGGGTTTCCTTTCGCACCAAAGCTTCTCACCCTGGGGCCAGCACGTTTTTCAGCATAAATCCCTTGTGAGAATTAAACTCAATTTTGGGATAATTTTTAATTTTTTTCTGGTAAAATGGATTAAAACAAACTCAAATGACTGCTCTATTTTTGTTAACTTGGTTTTTTCTACCATAGGTCTCAACAAATGGCAGCTATTACATCAGACAGTGACGAGTCCTGCTGCTCCCTTACAGTGTCTGACAGACCACTGTGGATTCAGATTGGGAGCATTGAAGTTAACAGTGAAACGGGCAGGTCTGTCTGTTCTGAGCCCTGCCACAAAGTGAAGAGGGCTTCATGTCATCACGTGATCATCCCTGAAGTAGATTAGGCTAGACTTAAACTGTCCATTAGCCCTTCCCCCCTGGGTTCCTTTGACCTTGGGAGCTGGGTCATGTAGGTGATGGTTTTCATGAGTGAAAATACCTGGATTGATATCACCTGCTCTGTAAGACCATGACGTTTGACTTCACGTGAGCGTCATGAATTGAGACTGGCTTCTAGATTGGTTCAAGTTGGGGGTTACAGAGCCTAATTATGTCAGATAGCAACGAAGCCTCGATTTAAAGGTAAATACTGGATCTCTCTTTTCACTCTCAGCCTTTCTTTATCTCTCCCATTACTTGTTAGATGTAGTCATTGCTCTGTACTGTTTGTGTAGGTATGTATATATGTGTGCGTTTGCATACACACACATATATATGAATGTATACAGTAAAACCCACAAAAGCCGGAAACCGGGTAAACAAACCTGTCAAAGAGGAAAATTCAGGTATTTCCCACTATAGTGAGCGATAGGAAAGTAGTAAGACTGCACCTGTCCAAGGCAGAAGCCTTGTGAGATTCCCCTAAAACAAGGACATCCCCAGTGAGTTCCGGCTCTTAGGTTTCACTGTATATTTTTAGTGACCACTGTCATTTACATAAAGCAAGTCAAGCTCCAGCGACAAAGGATAATGCTGAAACGTTCTCTATTCCTTTAAGCATATTGGTCAATCTTTATATTGCTGAAAGGCTTTCCTTGGGCTCTGGTGTAGGAAAGGGTTAGGGGTTTTATGCGGTGCCGCTTTATAACTTATATGAAGTGGCTTCAGAAAGTCTGTGGGGAAAATGGAATGAAATGATCACGGATTTTTCCACAGGCTTTTTGAAGCCTCTACATATCCATTCTTTCATTGCTTCTTTGGGTCAAGGCTATCTAACTTTCTGGTGTTTGCACAGCTAAAAGAGCTGTAATTAGGCTGCATGCTTAAATATGAGCTATACTTTGCAAGCTGGGTAGAGCAGCACATTTTTGGACCAGGGGTTGAGGCTGGGATGTTCTATGTTGTGTACCATGGCAGCTATCCTGAAAGTGATCTTGTGAGGGAATTCTTAAGAATCCTGACTGGCACATTGGACTGTTGACCATAAGGTCAGCAGTTCGAACCACCGGCTGCTCCCAGGGAGAAAGATGAGGCTGTCTACTCCCATGAAGATTTACAGTCTTGGGAACCCACAGGGGCAGTTCTACTCTGTCCTTACAGGGTCCCTCTCCATTGGCAGCTACTCGACAGCAATGAGTTTGATTGTTTTCTTAGGAAGAGTATGCTCTGTTTGAGTCCTGGTCCTTCCTGCTTCCATCTCTTCAACTGAGCATGAATGGGCTTCACCAAATTGAAGCCAAATATTGAGTCATACGTAGGAGGAAATGGAATTGCACGTCGGATTAGCTGTTTACCTCCCCTCCTGCTCCTTTCAGCTATGGAGCGGAGACAGTGACCACTGTTGTTTTGGCAGAGACCAGCTTCTGTGTGAGCCATAGTCTAGTACTATTAAAATCGTTTTAGAAATGCAAACGTATGGTGCAATGCCGACGGATTTTTACTTTCTTCAGAGGCAAGGGCTGGGTTCACTTCCCTTTCTGGTGTGCACAGTACTCACGACGAGGTCACTTCCCGTTGCCCGAGAAAGCCCGTGTGAGATGCTCTTGAGCTTGTGTGACTGACTGTGTGAGCACAGCACTGGGGCCAGCGAACACGAAAACAGCGCTCTGACCCCACTCTGAAATGTTGGGAAAGATCGGCTAGAATGAGGGTGGCATTCTGTGCTTATTTTGTCTGGGGCTTTTCCACTGAAAATCCATCTTGTTGGTTTATAAATCCCATTTGACGGGGGGAAAACCCCCCCCCCCTTTCGTTGCATGGATCACATCTTGGGGAATTTAAACTCTCATTGATACGTGGGCTCCCAGGTTGGAGAGGCATCCTGGGGACCGCAGCTCTTCCACGGGGTGATCTCCCACTTTGTGGTACCAGTGGGGGTGGGGGGGTGGGGTCGGCACTGTGGCACTTCTGGTCGAGTTACTTTGCATTGCTTGTAAGTCTCGCCCTTTGGCTTCTTGCTGGTGGTCTGGTGCAGGTTGCTGCCTCGGCCAGTCTTCAGGCTTGCTGCTGTGAAGCTCACGGTGGCCAGTCTAGTCAGCCCAGTCATGCGTTCTAGGAGAAAAACGGGGCCCAAATGTGTTGGGGCTCATGAAGCACCTGCACGGCCTGGTTCTTTGCACATACCGTAGGCCATGGGGTCTGCAGGGGCCGTTCACGGAGCCTGCTTCTGGGTAGACTGGCTGACTAGACTTTGGCCAGCCTGTGCCAAGAGAAGGCTGTGGGGGCTCACAGCAGTCTATAGTTGCTCAGCGGACTCTGGAAGTTTTGTATTTTTCCTTGAGAAAGGGCAACAGAAAATCCAAACTTAAAAATTCCCCTTTTACTAGGCAGATATTCAAGCCCTAGCATTTGTCACCACACACTCCAGCGCAGGCTGAGGGGGTGGAGGTGACGATCAGCCTTGGCGCTGGAATTTGGCCAGACCGCATTCTGCAGTGACACGGGTGCTTTGCTGGTGTACAGAGGCAGTGAGCAGATGCTGTTCGAGTTTCGATGCAAACATGAGGTGCGATGTCACAGTCTACCTCGGGCTGAATTGAAATGAGGAGAGGACTTCATTTCCCCCATCTAATTTCTCGTGCTTAACCCCGTCGCCTTCCTTCTCTTTGCTGTCTTGCAGCACAAAGACATTAGCAGGTTGCAGCCCCCAGCCCTGAGCCACAGCGCCCGAGGGAACCGCAGAGCTTCAGACTGCAGGACAGACACCGGGGACTCGCGCTTACGGCCGCTCCAAGAAGAGTGTGGCGGGCCGTGGTTCAAACCGACGTGCGCGGTTCCACAGAGCGAGGGGCACTCCCAAGCCGCGCTCCATTAACCTGAAACAGCATTTGGGGAATGTTCTAGAAAACAACCAAACCGAGGCAATAAGTTATGCATGAGATAAGGTGAAAAGCAGTCCTCACTTGAAGTTTGCATATGAAGAACCACTGACAGAATCTTCCTGTGAATGTGAAGTTCTCATCAGTACGTGTCAGGGGGGCCTAGAAGGCTTGGGAAGATGGCAGAAATGTTGACCTATTTTTCATACTTACACTTTGTACTTTCTCGAAGGTTTCTGTTAGTTCAGATACGAGCAAAGCGATTTCTAAAACGGCGCGTCTGTGAAACAGCAATATTCCTGCCTGCTGAGGTCAGCGCCCCCATCAGGCGCCCACAGAAACTTGGGGCAAGGTGCACAAAAGGATGGCCGAGCGCCCCCACCCACTCCCGCAGAGAAAATTGGGGCATTTTCTTTCTTTAAATAAAGCAGTGCTGTATTATCTTGAATATATGTTTGCTTGTTGGGACATATTGAAAATATATTTATTTGCCACCAGTCCTTCCCATTTTGTATACATTTCCGTAACTGCATTCTTTCAAATTTTGTCTCCAAAATGGATCAGTTGATGTCCTTGGACTGAAGACACGCCCTCCGAGCTGTCGAGGCCGTTGTCACCCTCCTGTCCTTCCCCCTGTTCCTAGTTCAGAGAAGTTGGCAACACCTGCACTCTGCTCTGGCCCTGTCCACACTGGGCCCCTCCCTCAAGAAGCCCGAGTTCAAGGTACCATCCCAGGCACCAGGTCCGATGGCAGAAACAGACCCCTGCAGATACATCCACCTTTCCATGCATGGAGTATGAGTTCCTCTTCATAGCAGCTTCTCTGCACACTTTGGTAATTATGTATTATGAAACGCTTTTCTTTTTAACAAACGGAGAAAACAAGATGGACCTGTTAGTACTACATTTCTAAGGCATTTTATATTTGATGATGCCGTACTTTTAATAATAAAACAGAGGTTTTTTAGTGGCAATATTGATTTATTTTTAAAACCAGAAAGATAGTCCCTATTGATTACTTATTAGAAAAAAATAAAAAGCAATATATATATATTAAAAAAAAACAACCCTCAAGTTCATTTGAAGCAACAGATAACTGAGCAAGCTTTCCTTAATTCTGGGTAGGTTTGGGATGACCCAGTAACCTCAAAAAACCAAGGATTAGCACCAGGTTCCAGGTGAAAATTTTAGAACATCTAAGCTACCCAAGCCAGGGTTCATGTTACAAATCAAGAAGAAAAGATGTGACCGGCCTTGCTTCTGATGAGTTTACTGCAAATCCCAATTAGGATGCATGTCATTACGCTTCCTGACTGCATTCTAAAATTGCCCATGGTGGAAATTCCCTTTCTGGGAGTTCTCATCCACATTAGCTTGAGGGGCTGCTGTGGGTGCAGCAGCCAGAACGTGTGAGATCGCCTGCCCTGCTCTCTCGAGGCTCGGGCTTGGCAGGGTCTTCTTACAGCATCTGCAGAGCTACCCCTCAGGCTCACTTCAGAATCAGCTCATCCCCAAGCCCTGTTGGAATTTCACTTGGATTATATAACCAAGAATTTTTTAGAGATGTAATCATTAAAAATGCAAAACTGAGCAATCAGGTCATAGTACTGAAAGTTTTTTTCTCGTGCTTTTGTTACAAACCAGACTTTCCATTTTCTAAGACATGAAATTGGCGGATAGATTGTGTTGCTACTTCCTGCTACCTTTCGCCTGTGCTTCCACCTCCACACGCCCGTCTCATTTTGTAGACTCGAATGACAAAAGTTGTTTCTCATCTTAAATATGCTCAGAGCTCAATGTTAAAGAATGTGTAACATTTATCCAATAAAGTTTTGATTTTTAAAAAAATCCTTAGTTTTCAGGAGTTTTTTAAGGTGTTGGCCCCCTCCCCCACCACACCCCAATATTAAAATCCAGCCATTTCCTGGAGCTGGTTTGCCATCAGTACTTTCCAGGAACGCAGTGTACATTTGAGTCTTAGGAGATGGTGCTTCTGGATTAAGGTGACCAGTTTTAAAGCGGGACACCATTGACCGGGGGCCGGCGGGGTGTTTCTTGATTACAAATTTGGTCTATATGGACCAAATAGACCATTCCCTAGCTTGTGCATTCTTTCCAAAAATTGGGACTTTTTAAAAACGCCAACAATCGGGACGCCTGGTCACCTTTTTCTAGATGCCCACGGTTCGAGAGAAGAATTTAAAATAAAACAAAAGCTGGTTGCCACAGAGTCTAATCTGACTCACAGTGACCCAATCGGCCAGAGTAGAACTGGTTTCCAAGACTTTCTGTGGGAGTAGAAAGCTTCTCCCAGGTAAGGGATAACACACTGCCATCCAGTCAGGTCTGACTCACAGCAACCCTGTAGGGCAGAGTTGGGCTGCCCCTATGGGTTTCTGAGACAACTCTTCACGGGAGTGCAGAGGCCGGTGGTTCGCTGCCCAACATGTAACCACTGTGTCCCCTCCCCCCTCCAGGATTGTTGGGCACTGAGTTGGTTCCAACCCATAATGACCCCAGGCACAACAGAACAAAACACCTTTCAGCCCAAGGCTGACTATCAGATGTCATAACATTCTATAATACAAATAGATAATTGTACAATTTCTTCTTGAACTCTTCGCTGTCAGCTCCCCTTTATCCCTTCCCTCCCCCACCATTCCCCCAGAAACCCTTGTTATATAATATATATTAGACATGTTACCACATCTAATGTATCTGTTCACCCACAATACTGTTATTCACTCCTCTCCGTGGGATTATACAGTCATTGTTATCAGCTCCCCTTCCTTTGTCCCCTTCCCCCCACCCAGTCTTCCCTTATCCTCAGAATCATTACTCCCATTGCTGTTTCTGAAGGGTCTTCCATCCCTGGCATTCCTGCATCAAACCTTAATTATACGCATGAACATAGTAGGTCTAACAGTATTAGTGAGGTGAAACAAGCCTCAATAGTAAGGGGAGGGAATAGTGAAGGATAGTCCTGGTTTCAGCAGTGCTATCCTGCAGTCTGAATCCCTCACCCCCCACACCTCCCCCCCTCAGACCCTCTGTGAAGGCCTGTCCAATTGTCTTGCAGGTGGGTTTTGGGTTTCTTTGTCCATGCTCCTTCCCATCAATTTGATTACTTGTTTTTGAACTTCTGATAGCTAGTCCCCTTGACACCTCATGATCACACAGGCTGGCGTGCTTCCATGTGGGCTTTGTTGCTTCCCATTGAGGGCTCATACAACACATCACAATCCATCCATCCATTGTGACAAGCACATCCGTATATTTGTTGCCATCAACTTCCTCAAAACATTTGCTTTCTACTTAAGCCCTTGGTATCACTTCCTCATTTTTCCCCCTCCCTCACAAACCCTTGAAAATTTATAAATTATTATTATTTTGTCATAGTTTACACTGTCTGATGTCTTCCTTCCCCCACTTCTCTGTTGTCTATCCCCCAGGGAAGAGGTTATATGTATATCCTTGTAATAGGTTCCCCCTTTCCACCCTCCCCTCCCTCCACCCTCCCAGTATCGCCACTCTCAGTACTGGTCCTGAAGGGTTCATTTGTCCTGGATTCCCTGTGTTTCCAGTTCCTATCTGTACCAGTGCACATCCTCTGGTCTAGCCAGATTTGTAAGGTAGAATTGGGATCATGATAGTGGGTGAAGAGGAAGCATTTAAGAACTAGAGGAAAGTTGTATCTTTCATCATTGCTACACTGCACCCTGAATGGCTCGTCTCCTCCCTGTGACCCTTCCGTAAGGGGATGTCCAGTTGCCTACAGATCAGTCTTGTACTCCCCCTTATTCACAATGATGTGATTTTTTTGTTTGTTGATTCCTGATCCCTTTGACACCTCGGGATCACACAGGCTGGCGTGCTTCTTCCATGTGAGCTTTGTTGCTTCCCCGAGACTGACTTTATAGGAGTAGAAAGCCCTGCCTTTCTCCTGAGGAGCGGCTGGTGTTTTCAAATGACCACACCTTACGGATCACAGCCCAACTCTTGACCACTACACCACGAAGCCTCGTAGATGCTGCAGAAAGAATAAAACCACCAGCAAGAGCATCCTTCTCCCTGCCCCTTCCCCCCAGTCGTATTAACTGTAAACTCTTTGAGAACTTGCTTCATCAATAACATGGTCGTGGGCCAACCTCGCAGCATGGAGCATTTCTGCAGTGAAGGCTGTGGAGCGCTGGCTTGCTTGTCCATCTCGGGAGCTATTGTGATGACTGTTGCGTGCTTGGGCCATGAGCACCACGTTACGGAATTGACCAAAAGGCTTTTCCTTTCACTTCTGAGTGGTGCTCAGACACGCTCTTACGGTCAGTTGGAGAGATGAGTAGTTCCTTTTTAACATCCCTATACAGAGATTTCAGATCCCTAGTCAAGTTTAAAAGGATAGGTGTATTTCTCACCACTGTGTCTTACTGCAACAGCCGACTGCTGTGTGGTATGTTGAAACTGCAGTATCCTAGACACATTCGTAAAGGTGGATGTTCTTTTTCTACCTCCTTGTATATTGTTTTCTTTCTTTTTTTCCATTTTATTGAGAGCTCTTATAGATATAACAATCCACAGTTCAATTAGGTCAAGTATGATTGTAAAATTGCTGCCACCATTATTTTCAAAACATTTTCTTCTTGCATTCTTTGATATCAGCTCCCTTTATCCCCACCCTCCCCCACAGAAACCCTTATTAAATATTATTGTTCCTTTTGTGTGTGTGCCATATCTTATACCATCCAATGTATGTGTTCCACCATTCTGTTATCGGTTCTCCTTGAGTGGGCTTATATAGTCATCACTGCTATCAGTCCCCCACTCCCTTGCTGTACCCTCAGGGGATTAATGCCCTCAGGGGAATGAACTCGCCTACTCAGGCTCAGGACAGCAGTGCTGTCCATTCTGTTGTGCACAAGTTGCCATGAATTGGAACTTACTGGACAACACCTAACAACAACTAGGTAGCTCTATTTTTGGTTTTGAGGAACTTCCATGCTTTTCCACAACAGCTGTACTATTTGCATCCCCACCAGCAATGGATAACATCCTAATCTCCTTACCGACTCACCAACATATGTCATTTTCTGTTTTTTTAAAAAAAAGTCTTCTCCATCCTATACAAACAGCCCCACCTCCATCCCCAAACTCACTGCCATCAAGCTGATTCCAACTCACAGTGACTATAGGACAGGGTAGAATTGCCCCTGTGTGTTTCCAAGACTGTAAACTCTACAGGAACGGATAGACTTATGATTTTCCCTTGGAACAGCTGGTGGATTCAAACTCCCGACCTTGTGGTTAGCGGCCCAGTGTGTAGCTCATTACACCACCAGCACTCCTGATGGGAGTGAAATGCCATCTTATTGTGGTTTTGATGTGCTTTAGAGGCTCCTCTGGCCAATGATGCTGAACATCTTCCAGGTGTTTGTGTGCCACTTGAATGGAAAG